TGCCGCATAGAAAATTTTGACGACTGTCTTCTAAGGGGGGGGGAGGGGGGGGGGGGGTATATACAAGAAGTGAAACGGTAAAGTGCGGTAATTCTCAAAACAATATTTTTTTCGACCATCGATCCGACTGGCCCTCCCTCTCATGGAAAACTTCTCACCGGGACCCACTTCACACGCGGAAGGAGGATCGGCCGGCGAAGCCGGCCGATCCGACTGGTACAGTAATGTCTCAGATGGATAGCCTCTTCGTGGCGAGGTTTGAGTTGCTTGATCTACCTAATCAATGCTGTCATCAGCATGCCAGCACCTTCTCTTCTGTTTTTCTCTGTAGCCAAACAAACTTGATCGCTGCGGATGCTGAGGCGTGTCGGGGGTTGTGATTGGCGCAGGCGCCTGCTCAATATTCACCAATGGTTGTCGCTTCACCCCTTTAGCAATTGGTGAAGAACAGGCTGGCGCCACGCCTAACCAACCCTCCCTGACATGCTCCAACATATGTCACAAACAAGACTTTATGTGGCGGACCCTCATATGATCCAGTTCGCACGATCACGGCACGATGTTCGTAGCAGAGGCAGCTCCAAATACAATAAAGACAAATGCAGTGATGGTCCTTCAATTGAGCTGGCATAGTGGTCCATTTTGTTGATTCTGGTGCAATCCATTCAAACGTTCAAAATTTACACTTTAAATTTGCACGTACAGTTCATATCACTGCGACCTGTCGGGTCGCAATCAGCGGTTCCCACCTGCGGCCTTCCCACCAGTGGCTGATTCCTTCCTACATCGATCATTGCTCGATCACCATTGGTAGAGCAAGGCAGCCGGACGCGAGCTCGTGCCGCGCTGCGCTCGCCGCCCCGACAAATTGCAATGTTACAAACTATATAGTTGATACTGTTGCAGACCAGTGGGGCTATATTGGTGTCAGGAAACGTGTGTTTCATTTAGAAAACAACCGGTGGTAGAAAACGCCGTAGGTGGGCTCATCCCACGCCTTTTGACATCGCCCCGCAGGATAGCA